ACTGCTTTGGGTGTAGGGCTTCACAATCCCACCTGCACCAATCTTCTATACTGTTCCAAGAACTTTTTCTGGCCCGGCTCATTTGGGTCCCAGTTAGGTTTTTGCACTGGAAAAATATTATCTATATCTCCCCTTAAAACATTTGTTGCAATCTGCCCTTCCACATGATTTCTTGCTGCTTTTATTACTAGCTGTTTTTCTGTTTCTGTCAATTCTGAGAGAATCAAGTCGATATCTGACCAATCTATGCCCTGATTTTTCACAATTAATTCAAATTTCTTACCCATCTTTTCAGGATATTCCCTAAACAGTTTTGCTTCCTCCCTCCAGCAGCACTTTCACTTTTGTTTGAGTGCCTGCAGCTGTTATTACTAATCCTAGAGGGGCAGCAGTGTGGCTGCTCTCAGCTCTAGCTTTTGTTCCACCCCCAGTCTTGCCCCCAGCTTTCTGTCCCATGGTTCGACCCTGAGGTGTCCTATTCACCCTCTTTTGGGGGTCTTCCCTACTCTCTGCTGTACTTTCAGTGTCTGTCTCATCTAATCCCGATTCCTGTGGGCTGTCAGGTCTCTGCCTGACAGGCTCGGATCTCTAATTTACCCTACGACAGGTCGGTTGGAGTTCCTGAGGGTCTATAATGCTCTCCTCATCACTACCTCTTTTTCCGAGCTTAAGACACTGCTGTCCAACACTACAAGAATCACAGCAGCATTTCTTAGGCTTATGATTTTTCTGACTGTTACAGGGTGAGTTCGAAAGGATGCTGAGATTGAAAACCAAGACACTGCTGAGAACTCATCAATAATCCCAATATTTATTACAGAAAGTGACCATGTAAATGGGAACCCAAGAGACAGGAAAGGAGAGGAGTGAACTGAGCCCTCAGGGAAACCCCCACTCACTCAGGTGTGTTTTACGAGGTTGTCTTACCGACCCCAGGATAACCAGAATTCCCCCCAGCAGAGGCTGCATCCTCGCAGGGTCAGCAGGCTCACAAAGAGAGCGGCGTCCCCTCAGAAGGCAACATTGTCCTTCCTGTGAAGCTTGAGAGCCCCGAGCACGAGCCACCTGCATTTTTATCCCCTGAGCCGGGGACGTCTCCCTGGGCCGGTGTGGCAGCACCGCCCAGCCAGAGGCCCTCGGTCCCTCCCCCGTTCTGTGAGTGCCCCCCTCCAGCCATGCGGGAGAACGTGGGGATTCCCCTCGCACTTGCGCTGCTTCACTCAAGGGGGCTGATCTGTTTGGGTCTGGGGGCTTTACTTCATCCTCTCCTCTTCAGTTTCTCCTTCAAATGTCCTCTACAGACAACTAGTCGATCACAGAACACCAATTAAAACAGTTTACACAAGAAACTCCAAGGATGAAGCTCACGTTTATCAGTGAACTTGGCAAGCAAAGAACAAAACTTTTGCAGGTCGCTGGGCCAAACACAGACCAAAAAATATCAACAATCCCTGATACACCTGCCCTGATTTCTGTGTTGAAGATGCTTCTTCAGCCCTTCAATGGAGCTGCAGGGGCAGTGCCTGTGTGCAGAGCTGGAGGGAAGAGACTCCCAGCACAGCAGCACAGCCAGGGACAAGGGCACTTGTTCTTTCCACATCTGGGCTTTGGGAAAGGCTGGGGAAGGTTGGGAAAGGTGTTAACAGGGTGGTTTTGCCTGAGGTGTTAAACATGGGAGCGGGTCTATCTTCCCAATTGCCAAGAGAAGAG